CCCCAAAACCCCAAAACCCCAAAACCCCAAAACCCCAAAACCCCAATTTAACTTCGTCCAGAAATTTCTAAAAATAAATGGATTGCACCAATTTAGGAGTCCTTTTTATTCTCTTTGCTTCTTATCTCCTCCATTCTATTGAATTCATCTTTAGTAAGTGGGTCAAGCATAAGATTTGGAAGGTTCTCATTGATAAGCAAAATTGGAGGGACGATGAAAACTACGAATTCATGAATAGAACATGGCTGATTTTCAGTCTCATATCCAAGATCTCTAAAAATGCAAGGAGCACAATCATCGGGAGAGACTACATCAGGACCTTCTTTAAAACAACACAAATCTGTGGTCACAAATCCTGGAGAGAAGCATAGCATATCTATCTTATCTCTTAGTTCATAGCCAACTGCCTTAGTCAAGCTTCTTACAAAAGCTTTACTTGCTCCATATGGTGCGTTTCCTGGCAAAGGTGCATATCCTGCTTGACTTGCTACATTAACGATAGCACTTCTCTTATCTCTCTTTGCAAATCTCTTAGCGAAGATCAACGTGAGCAAAGATAGTCCATTGATGTTGAGCAAGGTAAGGTTTTCCATTGCTTCTTCTTCTAAAGTGAGAATTGGTCTCATTTCCTGAACTCCAGCATTGTTGACCAGCATTGAGATGTCTAAGTCCTTTAGATCTTCTGAGATTTTGAGATATGACTCATGTCCAGAGTTTTTAGTGAAATCAAACTTGTAAGTCTTAGTCTTGATCTTTGGGTTGGCTGCTTTAACTTCCTTCTCAGCTGCATCTAACTTCTCTTGATTTCTACCCAACAGAACAACGTTGAGGCCTTTAACTTTTGCAGAGTATTTTGCCAATGCCAAACCGATTCCTGCAGTGGCTCCTGTGATCAGAATCCAAGAATCTTTTCCATATCTTTCATGTACATCATACCCCTTCCTAAAGAAAGTCCTCTGTACATAAAACCCAAACTTAACAGCCACGAGTCCTATCACAAAGTACCCTATAGCATAAGCTAATCAATTTATCCAACACAGCATTTTATTAATTACAAATTTTCACTTGGAATTTTGGAAGAAGGGGTTTTGGGGTTTTGGGGTTTTGGGGTTTTGGGGTTTTGGGG